AATGTTTGATGATGAAACTCTATCAATGATGTCAATAGTTCCTTTCGAGTTTCCAATTCCTTAAAAATAGGAGATTCACTCTTTAGAAAGATCTTAGTCACTTCTTCCAAAATAGGGCATTTCTTGATATAGGTAACCATTTTTGACCTATCCTTCTTATTGAGCATCTTCGCTTTGCAGCTGGCAGGCTGCACGCCAGTAGCATGCGGCTCATTACCATCATTAGATCTGCTCTTAAGTGCACTATTTGTTGACTGACCACTTTTTGTTCTTTTTCTAGGCCTTTTAGGGCGCTTGGGTGTCTCTGAAACAGAAGCAAAACTGCTATCATCGGGGTTTTCAGTAACTAGCTCTTCGAACATGACTGATCCATGTGATTTTCCTTTGCATGAGGCGGGGAATGGGCGTGGAACATTATTAATAACACACCCTTTAATCACCCCAGACTAGACTTGACTCATTCCCATACCCGACTTTCCATCATTTCTAATGATGCAAAGGAAGCGCTAATTGAAGTGTGAAGAAGTTCTACGCGGACATATCACTAGCACTACAGTGCAGTTAGACACTCTCCCTCCCTATTATGTATTCTTGATATCACCTATGGAGGATAGTATCTGATGATGACTTCCTTACAAGAAGCCAACAAGTTTATGAAAAGGTGAAAGAGTTACCTAATCATACGACAGCTACGACGAACAATTTCTTCAAAAAATGTGGCAGACTATGCCCAACAATGTAACCAGCTGAACTCTAATTTTTGTATTATGACCTTACTGGTAAGTGCGATTCTACCCCCAAATTCTACTTCTGTTGAAGAGATACTTTAGTTTCAATTGCAACTGGACACTTGTAGTTTAACTATTAACTACTTGAATATAATACAGTAAATTGAGAAAAAGAGAGAATCAAACAGAATAAAGTGATGTGTTTTGAAGGTCTTTAAAATAGATGTAATCATGTGATGCACATACACATCAACCATAATAGCAAGAGAAGGTAGTGAAGATGAGAGTGGATATGAAATTGAATACAATTATACAGAAGTCTAGAATAGTAATTGTGTCAATATGTTATTGATAATAATTGCTACACTGTGCTTTTACTTTTGCATGCTGTTTATTACTTTGCTAGGAGCTAACAGACTAGGCCAAAGCATATCTATTACATTTTACTATAGCATAATGTTCCCAAAGTGCTCATTTATTGTAATGCTTCAAAGTTTACTCACAAAAAACTTAAGTGGTGTACTGTACATGTAAGACAAGGTTTGTAAATTATTGCTATTAGGTACAGGAAATTGCAAAAGAGTAAATTGGTAACCTTTCTTGCCTTCCTTATGAGGGAATAATAGCTACTTAGTTGTTATCCTCCATAATAAGTGACCCACTTAAAATAAAGCAACTGAAGCAAGGATTATGCAATTTCGTGCACCCTACATTAGAAATTGTCTTTTTATATGAGTTTCATCATTACCTATTATATAATATGATCATGAGTGGGTAACTATTATAGCTCTGTGTAAGGCTAGTATTACATTGCAATTTTAAATTATGTATAAGATTCTGTGTTCTTAATAAGTAAGCATGCATGCTTGTAGTAGCATCAATTTGACAGTAGTTACCTGTGTGTCACACTTTTAACAACCTTTTGGGATTGAACTAAAAATTAATTAATTTAAAAAATTGAATTAAATTTTATATTAAATAAATTGTTCCGTTTTAGAGAAAAATATGCTGCATCTAATCTTACCGAGGCTGAGGTAGGTAAAAGGATGCATATTTTAATTGATATGCAAGACCCTGATGTTTTTCCTGATTTATGTCACTGAAATAACTCGTGTGCCACAACTAAGTATGAGTTGTTTTGCAATGGCTGTGATGCATTTTTAAATGAAGAAACTGCAGTAGATGAAAGGTGTTATGATGTCATAACACATATGGCTTGTGCCATATCTCTTACAGATCTTCAAAGCCAACTTACTCAAGTATTGCCTTCAAATACTTCTGTTCCATCACTGGAGTGGATCAGATTACTGTTCTGGCCCCAGGGTAAGTCACATAAATCATTGCAGAATACTGGTAGGTTTTGAGTGAAGTATATAGTCCAACAGCGACAACTGGGTCATTCCCATGTCGACTGAGACTATGCTGCATGACTTCTTTTATTTTGTCTTGATGACAAACACCGTATGAAATTAGGTGAACCTGGTGTTCCTGTAGCATTAGTGGAGCGAGGAAGACAAGTCTTAGTCTCACATCACGAGAGAATGGTTGTCGCTACTGATCATGATTTTATGAAGTTTAGTAGAATTTCTTCTGTCATTTTTCACTTGAAGATTCCAGAAGACATCAGTGACAGTTGGTAAAATGGGCAAGTATACATTGGATTCAAAGATGCTAATTTTCAACCATCTAGTCCCATTAGACACGCTGCTGAGGTCTACTCAGTACTTGCTGGTACTGCAACATCCCCTTCACTAATACCATTTGTCTATACTGATGGTGGGCCTGACCACTGATTAACATACGTATCAGTCCAGATTTCTCTCATTTGTCTTGTTTAAAAGTTAGACATTGATTATTGTGTGCAGCTAGACAGTCCTGGAAGTATCATGTCGAAAAAATTGTTTGTGATGGATTTAGTACTGCAATCAGTCAGTATAGTGAGAGATGCAGTGGAAGTCAATACTGAAGAAGAGCTGAAGAAATGTAATTCAATGTCACAAGAAAGGAAGTTATCTGAAAGGAATACCACTATTGTAGCAAAAGTCAAGAAAGTTCATCATTAGTGATAACATAACAATGGTGTAATGACTCAATTAATGCTGAAAGATACTCTTTTTGGAATTATTCATCAGCTACTGTTGCTGAAATAGAGTAATTTTAGAATTCTATTTTAAATTGAAAGCTACTTTGAAGTTAGAAGATAAAGTTATTAAAATGAATGCAGGCGACTATAACTTGTGTAACTTCTACGACACTGCTGTTCACAGTCACATTATCCATTTGAGATACTAAAGTCTGGCAGCTCTCAATGCAAATATTGCTCTTCATTCCAATGGATGTCTTAGTGACAATTCAACACCTTCCACTTCTAATTCTTGGAAAGGATCATCAGATTTATCCAATTAGGAGCTTCACAGTGGCTTCCCATTTGTCTATGCTACGAATATAAAATGTAATGATTTTGTGGAATGCTTATATTACTCAGCTAAATATTCACCTATTTGTATATACTGTGCTGCTGTTGTGCCTGATAAGGATCTCAGTGTCAAAACTTTTTTAACATAAATCGTCCTCTTATGAATAAGAAGTCTTCAAGAAGTATGTATTTCTTTCTTTTATACCATTATGCTCTTAATTTGTTTCTTGGTTACTTTCTTGTGTGATTTTCCCTGTCTCTCTACACTATTAACGCTGGTACACAATATGCAATGCAAGACAGGGTGGATCAGATACGCGCGATATGTGCAATTTGTGAACAAGAAAAAAGGTGCATCTTTGTCGCTGATGGGCTATGCCGCTTGAATAGGCTAGAGTTCAACTCTTGCGTTTATTTTGTGGTTTACGCGTCAAAATTGGGTGTGTCAGAGGCGTGTGTTATGAAATGGAGTCGTGGACACAAGTGACTGAAGAGAACCTTATAGACAGTGTTAGGGCATTGCAGTGCATTTGGGATGTATCTAGTAAGGTTTATAAAGATCAGAGAGCAAGAGAAAATGCTTGGATGGAAGTAGTGCAAAAAGTAATAGCTACTAAATTTAGTTTTATTCACAAGTTTAACTGATTGACTGGTAGCCTTTTAATATTTGTAGGAAGGAATAGAGAGAGAGGAATGCCAAAGAAAATGGAAGAACTTAAGAGATCACTTTGTTAGGGAGCTTAAAAAAGTAAAGAAAAACAGGAGAGTCTGGGCCTCCATATGTTTCTAAATGGAAGTATTATGAAATTCTAAGTTTTTTGACAGACACTGTGCATCACAGGGAGTAAGTTAATTATAGTAGTTAATGCATAATCATATTTTCACTAGGACAGTATCCCATTTTAATACCATGGCAACAGAAACCATATGACTAGAGGAGAGTCAGAGTGTCAATATTGAAGAGGCAGAGAATTATACAGAGAATGAAGTAGTTGTTTGACCAAGGTAGATAAAATATTATTACTATTATATATTATCCTATCACATATATACTTCAATGTCAGGTGATCTGAGTGATACCCCTTCTACATCATCACGATCACATTCCCCATTTCCACAACAAAGCAAGAAAAGAAAAGTTGATCCAGTTGATGAGGCTCTCATTGATTGTTTAAAAGCAACAAAAGAAGACGGTTGGGCAAAGAAAGTAACTGCAGTAAAAATAAGCATTTTTGTATGGAGATCGCTCAACGCCTTGATAATATACAAGATAAAGATTGTGCTCTGGCAAAAATAGAGATTTTGAGGCTTGTGACACAATTTGAGTATGCAGGACCAGGACCATCACAACAAACTTTTTTCAATAATGCACATGGTTATCTTCAACATTAAAAGTTTAATAATTAATAATGCTCATTATTCTCATGTATAATGTTATCAACATTGTTGAAAGTACATATATTAATAGCTTGTGTTGTTAACATATGTATTTTGCCAAGCGACAGCACCCTCATCACTTGTAAAATATTCCATATAAATATCACGTACAGTCCCAGCAGAAATGGAGTGTCTTAAGCTACATCTTGCAATCGAGTGTTTGAGCTACCCTGCCTCTATGAACCTAGGTACTGATTTCCCATATCATCTTCAGTGTCATCAAATCCTGGAGGTGCATACATTGAGGTCTCCTTTGTTCGCAAATAATTATGTAGAGAGATTGTTGCTTGAACATAGGGTATAACTTTTTCAGTTTTTGATCTAATTGGTTTTCTAAATAGCCTCCATCTATAATGGTATTGAATAAAACAATATTATACAACAGTATGCAGTGTAATAATTTACTTGCTGCTAAAATACCAAATGAATTTTCAATTATTCTTCTGGCTCTACTCAAACGATAGTTAAAGATTGCTTGGTTTACTAAAAATAAATTTTTATATACAATATATTGCTTTGCTATTTAATACCTGGTAGATTTTGCTCTGGAAATGGTCTGAAAAATACGTTTTGAGTGGAAATGCTTCGTCACCTACAAGCACATAGGGAAACTTCTTCGTAGATCCTGGAAGACATCGTGAATCTGGTGTATTTAATTCATTGTATTCTAAAGCATCACCAAATTGGAAGTTTGAAAAAACTCCTCCATCACTAAATCTACCAGCTTGACCAATAACAACAAGAGTAAATCTATAACAGCAATAATGATGACTTTTAACAAAAATTTGTACATACCTGTAATGAGCATCACAAATGGCAAGAAGGACTACAGAAAAAGTTCCTTCATAATTGTAGTAAAGTGAGCCACTGTTATCAGGAGATTCAATTATTATGTGCTTGCCATCGATGGCACCTAAAAATTTGTTTTTCATAAGTAAATTATACAATGTACGTACCAATACAGTTAGGAAAGTTCCATCTCATCTCAAATTCATTGCTTATCTCCAACCAATCTTTTTTAGATGAAGGAGCTCTGACATACTCACTTCCTAATGTCAACCATATAGCCTCACAAGTTTCCTTAATAATATTTGACACTGATGAACGTCCTAAACGAAAAGTAAATGATAGAGAAACCTACAACAAGTGCACCATTACAATAAAAATATAAGCATTACTAGCCTATGTATCTCAAGTCGCTTGATACTGAAGAGTTACTACTAACCTTTCAGCAGCTGACACACTACTTCTTAAAGGGCTATTGTATGATCAATGGCTCAATAATGGGCTAATCTAACATGACAATAGCTAAATAAATAGAAAAACACTCATAAAATCATTACCTTTTGACAATATAAAGTCAAATGACTCTTTAGTCATCCTCAGATACCTAAAATGTGACTCAGGATCACTTAATCTCATCTCATGCAGTAATTTGTAATAGTCTCCCTGTTCCTTTCTTCTTTGGAAGATTGGCTTTACCTATAATTGTCTCCTCTTCCTCCTTTTCCTTCTTCTCAAAATTGCTGATAGAAGTAGGGTCATGTCTTCATCAGAAGATGAGCTATGCTCCGCCATTTTCCAAAGGTAGGTGAGGTCATTTATTTCCTGTTATTAACCATGTATAGTAGAGCTAGATTACATCATATTTGTGAATGCAACAACGCATCGCTACATAAACCACAACGATGCTGCTGCATCACGTTTCAACGCATTGCAACATATTGTGTACTAAGCTTTAGTGTGTACTGATGTACTATTCAAAGTTAAGTTCTCTTTTTAGGTTTTTTGTTATTATTTCTGCTCTTTTTAGCCTTCATATTGATTTGGACATTGCAGTCCTTCAAGCAATGTCACAATTCGTTCCTGTGAAAAATAAAATTAAAATTAATGATAATAATATAATAATAACATCATAACTTAACCCGCTTACAGAAATAATATTATTCATAGTTTGAAAGTGGAAATTAATAATATAATTGGAGCGGCCTAATGTAAATGCAATATGGCAGTGCAAGTGTACATAGTGAAAGACACTTACAATTGCATATACATTTATGAAGTTATATGAAAATTTGGGACAAGCATGTATAAGCCATCCACAGTAACTAGATGTATAATAGTGAGTCAGTGTATCAGAAGCACCGCCTGTGATTACAAACGTGATCTAACACAGCTTTCATTTGTAACACTCCCTGCCCTGTAAAAAATGAGATGTAAATTTAACCATATTGGAGTTAAATAACCAACTTCAAGTGTAGTTATTTTACCTGACATGAAGTTAATTTTTACCATAGGTGGTTACAATAACTAATAAGTGTAAAACTAACCGCAATGAAGTTACTTAACCATCATAAATATAGTGAATTAACATTAAGTGTAGTTTACAATATGTGACCCAATATGAGAAAACCAGGCTATGTGCGGGAATTATCAATTGGAGATATGGCTTCTTAAAGTTGTGACAGCAGTACCTTATCAAAACTGAGATTATACCAAAAATATATTGTATAAAGAATTTCCTTTCATTTGATACCAAGTTAGGCCTAAAATAACTTGAAAGAGGTCATTTACAGACCTTTCTTTTTGTTGTGTACCATGTAAATAATGCAAGATATAATGATAAAAATGGCTGCAACTCAATTTCATTCGTTTAGACTTCTTGTTGCATAAATAAGCATAACTCAGCACTAGATGTGTCAAATGACATGGAAGAAGGACCAAAAGATAGGAAAATCTTTGCTTAATTAAGAAAATCATAAATCTCAATTTTCAATTTGGGAGCATATAGCCTGGTTTTCTCATATTGGGTCACATATACCCTAGTAGTTAAAATAACTATTTATAGGTTAAAACAAACATTTGAATTGTGAAATATTCCCTCCAAGGTAAGTGAAATTAACTTATCTTGAAATAAAATCTTTTTAAAGTTAACATACATAGAGGGGAAGATTAATGTGATCAACAAGTATTTTACAAAGTGAAGAACCGAAGTTTAAAAAGATCAATAATCTCTTATGTTTGACCAGGACTGTTACTGTATGATAATGTGTGTTCTGAGTAATTTAATATGTTATATTACAGTTTTTGTATACAGTAAATTTATTCATGAGTCAACTAAAATGATATCCGTGAATTTGCTAAATGTGAGCTCATCTTCAACAGCTGCTATAAGGTACACATTGCTTAACAAATATTTTAACCTATTCACTTTAATCATTCCTATTCAGCTTAGTAATAAGAGATTGATGACTGATGTGGCAGCTGGTTAAGTGATTTCAAGTTATACTAAACTTAGAGTTTCTCTTCTTCTTCACATGGCTTATTGCATCAAAAAGTTCGGCCTCTTATAATTTCATGTCAAGCAATGAACTTGTTTGAAAGTGATACGCTGTAATAACAAAATTTTGACTGAATTAATCCCCAGTTGGCTGTTACTCTTTCAGCTAAATTTTACTGATAGTCATTGTATCAACAATTTTATTATTTTAAAAACTGTCAGGTTAATTTTCATCTCAGGAGTTATTTTCACATCATGTAAAGTTGTATTAACTAATGTGAGTTGGAAAAAATAACCACACCATTAAGATTAAGTTAACCTCGGCGGTAAATTTACTAACCGTGTAGTGAATGGTTACGCACACTGAGCATGCGCAGAACAGCAGTGCCTGGGTACAGTGGGCAGTTGCAGCTGCAGTCTTCTTTGTCATTTGCCCACCATTTTTGACTCTGCTTTTGCTGCTTTATTAGTACTGTTCCTGTCTTTTAAGATGCATAAAAATATTGGAAAGGTGAGCCAAAGATTTAAAATTGCTTTTAAACATTTTAGATGAAAATAT